CACCAGGGGTTGGTGGCCGGAGAAGGGCCCGTGGTCCCGGAGGGGCAGGAGCTGGGGTGCTGCAAGATGGAGATAGAGGATGAGAGCGGGGGGCCCATCCCCAGAGATTCCTGACCCTGCCCACAGACTCCTGTATCCTAGGACTCGGCTCCATCGATTCCTCTCCACCCAGCTGGAGAAGCCCTTGCTCCAGGTGTGAAGGGGCCTGAGCATGTTTTCAGGCTGTCAGTGGCACTGGGGGAAAGAAGTGACCGGGGGATGCTCCGCAACTCCGCCTCACTCTTGTGTTGCCTTTTTTTATTCTTTGTCTGCCCTAGTCTTCTTTCATCCTGAGATGTATCCTCCTGTTGCTTGGGTAAGAAACTTGGATCCCCCTATTGTCCCAATATAATAGAATAACAAGGATAGCCTGATAGACTGCCCAGGAATCCCAATATGACCATTGAGCCCATATTCAAAAGGAGTTATGTTTGGGGTTTCTCCCACCCAGAGCGATGAGATCTTGGATCATTTTTCCTGCCCCTTCAAGAGTCCTGCACAGAAATGAAGGAAGCAAATGGGATGTCATCATCAGCATCCTCTTTTTGTAATGGAGGCGTTCCTACAGAAAGAGGGGCCAACAGCAGTGGAGATGCAGAAGTATCCAATGACCAAGAAGTTCTCTACACCAAAAGATGCTCTGTACCTGCGAGCAAAGGAAACTTTACTTCAACAGTCTTCACCAAGTTTTTCTGGTATCTGATGTCCTGCAGTACTGAATGGTGCTTAGGTCAGAGGTGTAGCGAGAGTGTTATGCGCCCGGGGGCAAAGGCAAAATTGCATCCCCCAATCATTTGTTACTACCTGTGGGACTTTACACATTCCCATCCAGCCAAAGTGCAGAATTTGCCTTGTGGAAAGTGGAGCTCACAGCCCACAAGGTGAGCAAAGCCTGGTGGTTTGGGGTGACAATGAATCAAACCCACATGGGCGGCTGAGGCCGGAGAATTGCTTGAGCTCTGTGTGGGGGCAGCACACTGTGTGCATTCAGTGTGTCCGTGCCAAGCCTGGCTCATGGAAAGTTTGTGACCTGGGGCTACTGAAGAAGGCTGATGTGGTTGAGCTGCAAAAGGACTGGGGTTAAAACTGCTGTGCGGGTCCTGGGTGGCATTGTGTTGTGAGCAGCCACTGCAGCGTAGCCAGAGTGGGAGCCGGTCTCTGTAGAGCACCAAGCAACATCCCCAGCTTTGCTCGTGTTCTTAAGCAGAAGGATGGAACATGTAGGGAGGCTTAGGGCAGGGGGTTCTGATGTCAGGAGTTGGGTTCGAGACAGGGGGTTGGTGTTTGGAGGGGTGCACTCAGGGATGAAGGTGAGGGTGCAGGAGTCAGGGATGGCAGTAGAAGGTGAAGGGCTCATGGCAGGGTGCTGGAAGGCAGGGGTAGCTTACTGGGGCTAGCCAGTGGCAAGGGTGACGCAGCTCTTGAGTTGGATTCTCATGGGGGCAAGGGACTCCAGGAACTGGCCCGTTTCCACCTACTCCCCTCCAGCGAGCAGAGAGGCCTAACTCTAGGGGTCGGACCCTGCCTGCAAGGTGAAAAGGGATCAGCAGACTCCATTTTGAATCATAAACTCCATTTTAAAAACACCAGCCTGGGTAACAGCATGGAGCACTTAGAGATACTACTTGAAGAAGACCCTTCTTTCTTATGAAAATTTCAATGCAAAAACCTCAGGTTTTGAGGTTTTCAAATTGCTTTATTTCACACAGTCCCGGGGAAAACAAATGGGATTGATAAGTGAAAAGTCTGAAAAAAGTGACACTAAATTAAAAGCCACTAAAAATTGCCTTTCCCCATGTCCTAATTTCTGGGAGCTTCATGAAAAAGAAAAGAAAAATCTTCAATGGAATACTTCACTAAAATATAGTGATGGATCTGGATAACCCATGTTCATGCTAGAAATCCTTTTTCTCTCACTTCGGGAAATTATCCACACAGCCGCTACTTACCTGTGTAAGGGTTCACAGGACTAGGCCCAAAAAAACCATTGCTAATAAAAACAAATTATTTTAACTGAAGAATTACAGCTGTCCAATGCTTTGGCTTATGGCTTCATGCTTTGACAACTGTACCACAAGTTTTATTTTTCCCTCTCTGGTGTCAGATCTGAGATACTTGAGCCTAGCTTGGGATCTGGCATCACAGCAGGCCCTACCAATGCAGTGAGAAAGAGGGCAGTTGGCCCTGGGCCCCTTACATTACCACCTGGAGTGTGCATCCTGAATGGCTCTGAGGCCTGGGAGTTGCACGCTGCACTCTGGATGGCACAGAAAGATGGTTACCCCCTGCCCCTCCCCTTCCACCGGATGCTCTGCCCCTTCCAGGAGTGTGGAGCCGCCGCATTGCCTAGGGGCCCACATACACTGCCTCATAGATGTGAGCAAGAGGATAATATGGGGAAGGCTGGCCCAGACGGAGGAGGCATGAATTGTTCTGTCTCAGTGGACTAGCATTGCAAAGTAATTTTTTTATAATGTCATAGAGAGGTTTGTGGATCCACAAAATATCAGGCAGAGCATTTGTGCCTTCTATGCTCATAAATATATGTTTAGTACAGCAGCTATAATAACATGCATAACATCACACGAGAACAAATTCCTGTCACATTCTTGAGGTAGGGAGAAAAAAAATGTTCTCAAAAATGCCTCACATGAAAATTCAATGCTCCCATTACTGGAGAGTGCAGCTCTCACAGGACAAATAAGACTACAGCCTGAAAACTATTTTAATAAATCAAAAATAAATACATGACTGTCTAGATTCTCTTTAAGAGTTTATTTTGACTTTGGCATGATGTTTGCAGAGCAGATTGGCAGTGTACAAAAGCATTTATTGTTCTTTTCTCTCTGTGTGTGTACTTATAAACACAACAGGCAATAAACAAGTAGCACTTGATCATCGCTGTGTATGATCCCAGCAGAACTGCTCAAAAGCATCTTAGTACCTTGTCTTGTTAATAAAAATGCTATGCACAGAATAAGTGAGGTGCATGCTCCTCCTCTAAAATAAGAAATGGACACCATAGGCTGCAGAGCCGGCGAAGGCTGAGACCATCTCAGTCATGGCCCAACTGCTTTTAAGCAGACACATGGAAAATAAGGTTGCCACATGACTGATTTCAGACCAGCCTGGCCATTTTTTCCTCCTTTCTTGCCAGTTGTCAGTCAAGAGATGTCATTTTCTAGGTTTTCTTCCTGTATGCACATGTGGCTGTGCGCATCAGAGCTGGAAGCATGCCACACCTTTCACCCAGCTCCCATTCCATGTGCTTAGCATGTCATCTCCCAGGACCTCACCTACCTGCCTGTCAAAACTGCAGCAGATCCTCTCAGTATTATGGAGCCATCTGGGAAGCTGGATTGACCAATCTCCCAAAGGTGAGAATCACCAGCAGGGATGAGAAAGGTAAGAAGTGGGGTGGGAGAGGTAGGGGCTTCATGGTAGGGACAATGGAGAGCCTCTCTAAAGAACAGAGGCTCCTGGGAGGGTTAGTGTAGGGGTTATATGTTAAAGGGGGTCAAGCTGTCAGTGGGAGGAAGCATGCTTGAAAGATAAATAGGAGGGACTGTAAATCAATGCCTCCACCTACACTAAGTGGCACTCCACAAGCCTGCTAAATACAATAGGCATGGCATTGTGGGGCACTGGACTGGACTTTAGGAGACCTGGGTTCTATTCCTAGTTCTGCATTGGTCACCTGTGTGACCTGGGAAAAATCACTTTGACTTTCTGTGCCTTGGTTTCTCTTCTGGCCTTTTGTGTGGTTTCTCACTTTAGACCTTAATCTCTTCAAGGGAGGGGCTCTCTCACTATAGGTTTGCCCTGTGCTTAGCACAATGATCTTGGCTGGGGCCTCTATTAAAATAAAAGTAATAAATGTATCTCTAACTAGTTATTGTTTGATGTGTGTTTGTACTTGTCCTCTTAGTACAAATTTATTAATACTTAAAGATATATTGATACAGGGCCAGATTGTGAAACCCTTAGTCATGTGGCATAGCACTTTCTCCTCTTTGTTCCAATGAGCCTATTCAAAACAGTAAACACTCACCAAGAGGAGGGACTCAGGACCTTGCCTGCTCTGCATGTATGTATAATGTTATTAAATTTAACATATATAGGGTAATGTGTACAATTCTTATCTGGAAGGGGGACCTCTGGTTGGGGTTATTTTTAAGCTTTTACTATAATCACTACATAAATTAAACCTATTTTCATTCTCGTAGTTTAATTTCTTCACTTCAGTCTGTTTTCTTTTTGTATCCAGGGAATCAGAGCTACAAGCTTCACAAGTCAGTTCAGATGGTTATCTGCAATTTCTCTTTGTAGTGCACTTTGAGGTCAAATCCATTACAGCATGCGCTCAGACTGACTTTGCACACTTAACTCCACTGGGCCTACTGTGACATACTCAGCAGTTCACCTGAGAACCTGTTATCCATAGATACAGGAGATGTTAAAATTGATACATTAAAAAAAATCAGTTTCATGCCTGCTCTGCACCCTTGTGACTGAATAACCTACTGAATCTTAAATGATCAAATAAACAGCATACCATTTTTCTGACCAAGAAAAATGTGATTTTTGGTCATTAGGTAGTGCCATTACATCCAAATAGTATATGATTATGAGTTGTAAAAGCTATGAAGATTACCCACTATGGCTCTTACTAAGAGCTATGACTACATGATCTTCCCCTGTCATATCATGACAGCTGAGAAAGTAACATACATCCACAGACAAAGATGTGTAAACATCTGTAGCTGACTTCTACACTGAAATCGCTATAGTATTTCTATATGTATGGAGCTATAGTAACATTATTTTTTCTTACTCTCCCTTCTACATGAGCCTGGATAAACTGCTATATTTAACAGGGCTTTTGCTTTTTCTAATGCTTGAGCAGATTTAAAACACACCACTGACCTTTTAATGGACAGACAATTAGACTCAGATACCTGTAATTTGGCTCCGAGTGGTATAATAGATTATTTCAGCATCTTTTCACCTTCAGAGATTTTTTTTCACATCCACTTAAGATTGAGGTGAGTATGGTGTTTTGGAAGAAAAACCCCTAATAAGAGAACAAAGAGGGTGTTAAAATTCCCCTAACTGACATTTAGCCTGTTGATTCTCAGTTTAGATGATAAAATCATGTGACCATGATTCTTTTTTTCAAGTGGACCTCACTCCAACATACAAAATTGTATTGTTATAAAAAGCAACAGGGAAAGTGTATTGCCTCTTGATTAAACTACTACTTCACGCAGTACAGGAGGCTATACTTTAAAATACAAACAGAAGCTAAGGATAAGAAAACTCCTACATTCTGCACTGGTAGTATTTTTTGGCATGAATACAATACTTGTCCTAAAGGATCAGCACTAGCTACCTATAAGTTCCCAGGGGGTGTTGATAAACTGAGTTAGTGTTAAACTATAATCCCAAGATGGAGTGAAAGCTGCTTAGGTGACAGACAGGATATGTTCAAAATTCATGGCAGGCCTATGCCAGCTGCCTCAGAATTCCAGGACTCACACTATGAGGCTTTTTAATTTTATATGGATGTTTAGACTTAGGCTGATACTGGGCTCTAGGACGCTATATGGAGGGAGTGTCCCAGAACTCGGGTTGCAGCCTCAGCCTGGACATCTACACCCAAGCTCCACAAACCCAAATCAGCTGAAATATGCCAGCCGTGAGTTTTTAATTGCAGTATTGACACACCCTCTCTCTGCCCATGAATACTGCTGCAACTACTATCAGCCAATATGCTGCAGCTGGAGTTTGCTCAGTTTGTATCCAGTAGAAATCTTGATGGAATTATGGTGTATGAACACATATAATGACTGTATAGTTCTGCTACAAATGTCACTTAAGGGTACACAGACACCCTTAATTTTGTCATTTGTTGACTTTATAGTGTGGAAGTGATTTAGAATACCTAGTCTGTGCATGTCACACTGCTTCCGTACTAGTTTCATGGCTGACTCACTGAGCTTCCATGGGCATGAATATACATAAATGAACATGGAAAAAAAAGACTAAAAAAATAGTGACTTTAGATGTTATAAAAAGAAATAGGGAAACTGTGGCCCTATCACACAGAATATAATATACTTTCTATAAAGTGCCTTTGATTTTCAATCAAAAGGGTTTTGTATCTCAGAGGTAGAGAACAGTAGCTTGATTACCATTGTTTCATGGCATTTGCTACATTAATGACTTTTTTGTGAATGACTGAGTCAATAAGTCCATAAAATTCTCATATACTGTCAGCATCTGTGTTATTGCTGCCCTTCGGCTGAAATAATTATACCTTTTTCCTTTCAAAAAATCTTACCTGGTGTTTTATTTTTCTTTATTACTGGTGCTCTTGCTTATATTTAATTACTCAAGTGCTTCTTGATTTGGTGAGTCTGTTACCTATTTGAGTTTCTGTGCTGTGAAAAAGAAGACTTACAGATTAGTTGATATAATTGGTCATGAGAATTTGATCAGTCACAACTACTTATGCTCATAGGCCAAAAAAAGCTGTTTTGTAGAATTTGCATAAGATAGTTATCATAATATGTTTAACATAATTTAGTCTAGAATATTCAAGCTTCCATGTAAATGCTATGACAAGACATAAAAGCATTGCCCGGTCCCCAGAATACAAAGAGTTAAATTTCATCTTTCCTTTCCCTTCTTCCCCGCACATGTTCAGTGAAAGGCTTCTGGACAGACATAAACTTGAGAATATCTATGCAAAAGACAGTAATATGCTTGAGGCTCAGAACCTGGAGCTATTAGCATTGGTGCTATGCTCTTAGAGATAGGAAGAGTCATTCTAAGAGCTGATTTTTTAGTCAGTTAGCAACTCTGAAAACAAATAACTTGAATCAATATTAAAATTGATTTTTTTAAAAAATGTGGCAAACTGAAGAGTCAAAAATTCATTTGTGGTCAAATCATTTCATTTGAGCAAATTTAAATTTATTTTTCTAATGAAATTGAAGAACATTTTGAAACGAAAAGTAATTTCAAATAAAAAACAATTCATGAGGGAAAACCAACCATCCCTGCTTACTTAAACATATGCCAGCAGAGCTGGCCTTACCATGAGGTGAACTGAGGGGGCCGCCTCAGATGCCAGACTGTGGGGGGGGGGGGGGGCGCCCCAGGGCGCATTTGAGCTCCCCGCCTCAGGTGCCAAAATGTTGTGGGACGGTTCTGTATGCCAGTGAAGACAATGAGTCAATTTAAATTAAGGTACAGGCTTGAGTGCCTTCCTGAAGCCGGGCCTTACATTCTGAGAGCTGGATTGATTTTTGTTTTCCTCTTTGTTTTGATACAGGTTATAAAGAGTCTCTCTGTCTGAACAGACCTCAGTGCCTGTCATTGTGTTTTGTTTCTGCTCTGTAATCTCTCCAGGTTACAGAGGTTTCTAAAAAGCTAATTAAAACTTTTTCATCTGGCAATTGGGCCTCTCCGGGGACTGACTACAAATCCGTTCGTTTACAGTTTCGTGGCCTGAAGTTTGGCTACGGCTAGTAGCAATTTGAAAGTCATTTCCATCTTACCATTGTTTAGTAGTCTTGTTCCTGTTTCTAGGGGTTAGGTATCAGCCTCATAGGAAACTCCATCGCATTTAGGATCCACAATGACAGGCTCATCGGAGCAGAGGAACTGAATGGAAATGGAATCTGAACAACTCTGTCACAGTTGCCTTCAAAAAGAGGTGCTCTGAGAAAACATAGGCAGGGCTGAATGGAATTCGAATGGGACTCCAGCCTCCAGTGTTTTTATTCTGGCATCTTTCATGAGCACTAAAATCTTACTGAAATAGTATTTATTCACCCACTTTAAAAGAGTGCCAGATTGGCACATTATTAAGGCAAGAAGTACGGTATATGTTTCCTAATGTAAGATACTTTCATCTGGGAGCAGCACCAATGGGCTGCTAGGTTCATAAAACAACCCAGCATGAAAAGGTGTTTCTGCTTTCAGAAGCAATGGAATTTTTCTGGTCAGCTTAGAATGAACTTTGACTGATTTGCTTTGTAAGATACCTGTCAAGAGGTCTGAGTAATGTTAGGTTTTCAGAGCACACTTGTATTGACTTTTCTGATAACCTTTACCTACCAAATCATGCATGAAAACCACTGAACAGTGCGAGAGACCTCTTTTTTATTTTGCTAGACCCTCTGCCTCATTTCTTTTGTCCTATAGACAGCAGTACATTACACATTCACTGCAAATGTCTGTAGCTCCACAGCAGACTTGATAATTGGGACAAATCATTAACTTCAGCACAAAGCCCAAGTGAAAGACATTTTCTGTGTGGATTCTCAGCGGGGGGTGGGACTGAATCCTCTTTCTGGCTATCCAATTTGTGCTGCAGTGTTGGAGTATCAGCTATATGCTTTTTGTTCCCATTCTGTGTGTTTTAGGGAAGGTGATGAGAGGCTAGGGAGGGGCCTAGCCAGGGCTACCTTGGGGAAATTTTTACTTATTTGTATAAAAGTATTGCCTAGAACTCTGAACTGAAATTGTAGCTCATTGTATTCTGCACTGTCCACACAAAGTAGTAAAAGACAGTACTTGCATAGATGAGCTTACAATTTGAATAGACAAGGCAGACAAAGGGTTAGCAAAAGCTAGTATTATTATTGGGGGTTGCCAACAATCCCGTATCACAAGGGCCATCCCTTATTTTTTCAGGTCTGTACAAGTTTAAGTTCAGGAGTTACTGTGTTCTACAAAAAAAAAACCAGCAATAAATATCCCTGACAAATATTGGGGAGAGGTGCTTATTATTAAAATCAATTAATAAATAAATACCTGGCCAAAGGTGAGGTTGCAATTCTAAAAAAACAGACCCCTTTTTTATATTCAATATTGGCTGTCCCAGTTATTATCCCCATTTACAAGAGTGATACTAAAACCCAGACCCTCAAAGTGGTATAGGCACCTACCTCCCATCAAAACAAATTATAAATAAAGTAAAACTCCGGTCATCTGAAGAAGTGGGCTGTGCCCACGAAAGCTCATGATACATTTACATGTTTTGTTAGTCTATAAAGTGCTACTAGACCATTTGTTGTTTTTTTTTTTAAGTTTATCATGTACAGACGAACTCGGCTACCCCCTGAAGCTTCAAAATAAATTATGTCAGTGAAATCAGTTATTTCAATGGATGTCAGGCACCTAACCTGCTTTGAGGATCTGGGCCTTCAGTCATTTGCTCGAGATCACATAAGAAATCCAGCAGACTCAGCACTTTAATCCAGATTCAGTTTATCCAGACCAATACCACATGACCATCATTTCACTCCACTAATTGTGGGTCCACTGGCCAACGCTGCCCATCCCCTACCACCATGTTCTGGTGTAAGCCTCTGTGGACAGTGGAGGAGTATTTTTTTATCTATTTGACCTCACAACAGCAGGTCCGAAGCTTCACTGAGCCCTGGAGCAATATGGGGGTGGGAGGGAGGGTGCTGTTCTACCTTCTAGGGTATGTCTAGACTACATGGCTCCGTCGACAGAGCCATGTAAACTAGTTTACCCGGCATAGGCAAAGAAGCAGGGATTTCAATAATCCCCACTTCATTAAAATAAACGTGGCCTCCGCGCTGTGCCAACGATCAGCTAATCCGGCACAGCGCAGTACTCTAGATGCAGAGCAGTTGGCTGAGGAAGCCTTTGCCAACCAATCCCTTATGCCTCGTGAAATGGATCAGTTGATCGTCAGCACAGCGCGGTGGTCATGTTTATTTTAATGAAGCCGGGATTATTTAAATCCCCATTTCTTTGCCTGTGCCGGGTAAACTAGTTTACATGGCTCCGTCGATGGAGCCATGTAGTCTAGACATACTCTTAGACAGTACCGGGCCTTGGGCAGCCAGTCCTCAGCATCACCCAGAGCACACCACTACTCTTACCTCCCACCTGCCCTCAGCGCTGCTCGGAGCACACCACATGCACCCTCCAGCCCTCATTGCTGCCCTGGACATGCTGTGTGAGGCTCTGACAGTGATTTAAAGTGCCCAGAGCTCTGGCCACTACCACGAGCTCTGGACCCTTTTGTATTGCTGGGCCCTGGGACAACTGCCCTCTTTGTCCCCCTCCCATTAGCGGGACTGTCTGTCAACTAGGGGGAGTCCCCCATGAGCAGAATCACAATGATTCCACTCTGCTCATAGCCCTCTACCTCTGCAAATGGGAAGGGTTTTCACACAAAAAACACAAGACATGAAGCAGAATAAATTACAATGCTTAGTAAACCAGGAGCTGATGGGTACGATGTTAATCCCGATCACCCACAGATCAGCTGTTGACAACAGAGTTCATTTTAAATACAGCAAAAAAATAATGAGTGACCTCAGTGTTAGTCACTAGTAATTCTTACAATTATGAATTTTGAATAATTTCCAGTCATTGTTCTTTTAAAAGGTGCTACGGATATTCACCTTGTGGCTAAACCATGCTGGAATCTCCCTGAGCAGTACCCTGTCTGATTCAGTGCTTTGTGGGCTCATATTGAGAAAGTCATTTGGCCTGCAAACTTGTGGGATTATCTGTAAACACAGTGAAAGAAGACAGTTATTGCATGAAGCCCAGGCAACACACCTGCATGCTAATGAGTTAAATGTCATGACAGAATCACAAAACCAATATTCTGTTCTACCTTTTAGATGGAAACCAATTTACTTTTGTAACATTTCAAACGGAAAATTATCATGTAATTTCCTGTGTCAATACATAATTTATTTTGTAATAAATAACTAAATACATATTTATTGGGCTTTTTTAATCCATCTGTTGTGCTAATCTTAGTTCTCCCTACTCTAGCTGTACTATTCAGACTCATCATAATGCTTTCTGTCTAAAGCTGCTATACCCTTTAAGCTCTGTAATGATTGAGGAATGTATTATAGGATTAAACACAGCTACCATTTCCTTCAAATAATACTAAATTACTTATGTTAGGATTTATGAATTACTTTAAATTAAATCCTTAAAGGATTCATATTAACAAAAAAGAATAAACTGAACGAAACATTAAGTCACAGACTAAAACATATAGGCATTTTAAAAAATCTACATTACTGTTGTGCGGCAGATCAACAGAAGCCAGTAAAATCAACACCAAGGCTGGCACTCCAATATTGACATTCCCACCCAGCCTAAGAGTTGTAGAAGCATATTCGACTTGTAGCATCATAAATTAAGCTGAGGCTCATAGAATACATATTTGCAAACTGTTGAGAACTTCTACAAACCTCCAAAGGACCAGAAGAGGGAGCTTTCTTTTTCACTTATGGTTTCATTTTGGCAGCGACTAAAAGTTATCATCAGAAGAATATTTGGCTAATCATGTAAAATGAGATGTATTTATTTCATTTACTTGGTGGTCTAAGTCCAGTTCCTAGGTAACAAGTGCCAGTATCTCAAAAAATCCATACACAAACTGCTAACTGGTATTGATGGGTGTACTTCTGAAAAGGTTCAAAGTTTGGTTTTCTAGATTATTTTTTAAATCTTTTTATTCTTTTACATAAAATACAAACACGTAATGAAACACAATGTATATAAATACATAAACAAGATGTAAGTATATAAATAACAAAATTCAGTATTCATTATTTCTAACAACTAGGTAAAAACAAAAGAAAAAACAAACACTCCTATCTATAGAGGTCAATGACTATAAATAGATAAATAAGTGAGAACATAGCCTATGAATATTGAAGACTGATTTCTACTCAATTGAAAAGTATTCAATAATTCCATGTGTGATCAGACACACTCATATTTTTTCCATGCACTTCCATTAGACAGTCATTTTTTCCCATTAATGCAGTTGCAAAAAAAAGCTCACTAAATTAGTCGGTGTATGTGGAAGGAATTGCAGGTTTCCATTTTCTCAAATAACTCTTTTCACCACTAAAATGATTACTGAAATCCATTTCTTAATGTTAACTCATAATGCAAATTCATCTAGCACTCTAAAATACACAAGCTTAGTGAACGTAAGATAAGACACAACTTTTTTGGAAGCGCATGGACTATAGCATTCCAGAACACAAGCATTTTTGACAGGAACAGAGGATGCGTGAAAGTTTTCCATATGGCTGTACTGTGACATAGTGGGGGCACCTTGCTGGTTTCTATGCTGGCTCTGTGGTAACCCCCACTGGCTGCTGTCAGTACCACGGCCCAGCAAGACAGGGGATGAGTCATTATGCAAAGAGGGTCTCTCAACCTGTCTGACCAGCTACCCCCCAGGGAGAGAAACAAAGGAAGGTGGAATGCTGCCCTGGCTGGGAGGCAGGGCTGGAAGAGAGAGAATTAGTCTGTCTAGGATCATGGAGGAGACAGCCTAGGGAAGGGGGCTGGAATTTAGGGTCCCAGTATCCCCCATATCAAGGGGGGCTGAGACATCCTAGGCCTGCCCTGTAACCAAATTACATCTGTGCTGTGCTGTATCCTGGAGAAGCAATAAACTCCCTCTATTCTACTGGCTAATGGAGTCCGTTCGTGTCATTACGGGGGTGCAGGAGTCAGGGGAATCCCAACGCGTCGTCACATAAGCATTTTTGACAGGAACAGAGGATGCGTGAAAGTTTTCCATGTGGCTGTTTGCATCTCCAG